GATTTTTCGTTTACTCAGAGTTAATATGATTCATCTCACTTTATCTCCAACACCAAGGCGGGTATGGTGCTTCTTGTCTACGTGGATGATATAGTTATTACAGGGACTAACTCTGGATTGATATCTCACCTTCAAGACCGACTTAAGGAGTCTTTTCATATGAAGGATTTGGCCCTTCACAGTATTTTTTAGGTCTTGAGGTGCATTCCAGTCCAGTCAGGACTTACCTACATCAACATAAGTATGCAGAGGAGTTGATTAACTTAGCTGGGCTTCAGGATGGTAGATATGTTGATACTCCTTTGGAGGTGAATGTGAAATATCGCAAGGAGGGTGATCTTCTTCCCGATCCTGCATATTGTCAATTGGTGGGTAGTTTAAATTACCTCACTATTACATGACCAAATTTCTCTTTTGCTGTCCAGCATGTTTGCCAATTTATGCACACCCCACGACATCTCCACTTGGCCGCAGTTCGTCGTATTATTAGATACTTATCGGGTACACATAATAAGGGTCTTTTCTTTCCGGCCAATTCTCCCCTTGAGCTAGTTGGTTATAGTGATGCTGATTGGGCCGGTTGTATAGATACTCGTCGCTCGATTACAGGTCGGTACATGTTTCTTGGGAGTGCGCTCATTTCGTGGCGAAGTAAGAAGCAAGATCGTGTCTCTAAATCCTTCACTAAGTCTGAGTATCGTGCTATGTCTTTTGCCTGTTATGAGATTGTTTGGCTTCGGGTCTTCGGTAGAGCTTGGTTGTCCTCAACTTGAGCCTACTCTTCATGCTGACAACACTAGTGCCATTCAGATTGCTGCAAACCCCGTGTTTCATGAGCGTATTAAGCACACTGAATTGGATTGTCACTCTATACGTGAGGCTTATGATGGTCGTCTTATTACTCTTCCACATATTATAATGGATGTTCAGACTGCTGATGTATTTACCAAGGCGATGACTCGACAACAACATCAATTTCTTGTGAGCGAATTGATGCTTCTCGATCTTCCAGCATCAATTTGAGGAGGGATGTTAACAAGGTGTTACACGATTGAAGAATAACAAGATTGAAGAAGATTACGAGGATATCCTCACGTATATATTTGTACCATATATATAGAATTACCATATTTAGATTATAGAATGTAACTATAAAATTGGAGGTATCCCTAATGGAAAATCATTCAGCTAAAATTATTTACAGTTTAAATTGTGATCCTCTTCATTCCTGTAAAAAAATCCTTGTCACAGAGGCATTCTTTTTGTTTATTGATTTTAGCATGGCAAAGCTTTTCTTCTTGTCTTTTGGGAGTAGTGACACCAGAAATAAGATGCTGATGATAATGATTGTTTGGAGTGGTCGTCTGTAGATGATTAACGCTTGCTTAATTTTATCCCCCGTAGCTACGTGACAAAGCACTTGCAATTTGTCGTGCACTTATTTTCATGAATCTGACATTCATTTGTTGACAGCTTTAGACAGCCTGGTTGTGCACCATAATGGGTGAGCATGACACATGGATGGACATTTAATACATGTTAGAAAGGAATCCTACATTGACCTCTTCATCTGAAACCCAATACATTCTTTTTGGTGTAATGTTCATTCATCTTCTGTCTGGTTCATTCATATTCTATGGGGTCTGGTCTCTGAGATATGCATTTCTCTACTTGAAGCATTATTTTAAGGTTTTTTTTAGATTTATGGCAATGTTTTTTATCAAGATAATGATTTCTCTTTATGGATATATTTCCATCTTTAAGGTTTCTAGTACTTCCACCCTTTAATTTTTCCCATGCCACTGCAGAATACAATGTATTCTTCTGCTGAAAAATCATTAAAAAGAGCCTGAAGGTTAAAAGTAAACCATCTCCAAGCAAATAAGTATCTAATGGAAAAATTATATTTAAAAAATTGATAAATTTGATAAGTCCATTTTGTTTTTCAAGTAATTCACTCTTTTTTTCTCTCTTATCTATCCACTCTCTTTTATCTACCTACCAATAAAAAATAGACAAATTTAATATTTTCTAGGTTGAAAACTTAATTAATCAAATACATTTAATAAATAATTTTCATGCAAATAAGTTCCAGGCAATTACATTGCCTAGAATTTATTTTCTTCCACACAAATTTCATACTTGCAATCGAATGCCCTAACACTCACCAACTTTGGCCCACTCATCTATAGTAGATTAACAACTTCAAGCAATCCAACACCTTCAAGAGTATCAAATGAGTCTTCAATAATATTTCATATTTTGAATCTTCTTTTAAATGGAGATCTAATTTTCTTGATAAATTAATTGTGTATTTGTCAATAAATATTATTAATATTCAATAAGTTATTAAAATTATTAAAAAAAATATTCGACATGTATTGGATACGTATTGAAAATAATTAAACAATAAAAAAAAACTGAAAAATACGTTTCCGATACGTATCGGAAATTTTAAAAATATATAAAATAATTTTAAAAATATGTCCGGCATGTATTGGAGGGTATCGGAAAGTATCCAAGCTTGGATAGGCATCGGATACGGGTATCTATGCTTCTTAGTTGGAAACTATGTTATGTTTTGCAAACTGTCATCTTTTCTTTCTTTCCACCCATGCTTTTACTATTGTTAAGTACATATCCTGCTTGTGCTTTATAGAGAAGGAGAATTTGTGCTTGTATGGACTTCCTAATGAGCAGTGGGAGGTCAATTTGCCTGCTGAAGAAGTACCTCCAGAACTCCCTGAGCCTGCTCTAGGGATCAATTTTGCTAGAGATGGGATGCAAGAGAAGGATTGGTTATCTCTGGTTGCTGTTCACAGTGATGCCTGGTTGCTTGCTGTTGCCTTCTATTTTGGATCTAGATTTGGTTTCGATAAAGCTGACAGGTATGTATTAAATGCCGTCTTTATTTCGAAAATGTTTGGCTAAGCTTAAAAAGTTATACATAATTAAGCTTTAAAATAAATATTTTTGTTATTGATGAGAATTGTAAATAAGTGAGTTACTTATTTTTAGAGCAAAGTAAAGCTACTTCAAAAAAAAAAAGGTATCTTTTTTTTGCTTAAAAAGTAAGTTATCTAAACATGTTTCGTAAAAGTAACTGTACTTGTTTTATGCTCAGCCAAACATGCTCATAATTGGAACTTCTAAACGCAGCTAGATTCTGTTTGTGCATTACGTGTTGGCTCCTCAAGCTCAAATGTTTCCATGTGTTGTGTGAAAGATAGTTGTGTGGATAGATATCATAAGATTTATATAATTTTAGTTTTGAAAAAGGGTTGGGGGATGAATGATTTCTATGCGCATTTGAGACTTGCTGCAAAATAGCAACACAGTCATCAAAGCATACACAGTTGATGCAAATGATTTTATCCCTTCGACATACTGTTTAAGCATCTTCCTTATTACAATTGAATTTTAGTCAAAGTTCATTGTTCTTTTTTCTCATTTTTCAATTATAAATCAAATTTGAAATTTTATTTCCCAGGAAACGGCTTTTCAACATGATCAATGAACTCCCTACAGTATTTGAAGTTGTGACTGGTGCTGCAAAGAAACAACAGAAAGAGAAGTCTTCGGTTTCAAACCACAGTAGCAACAAATCAAAGTCAAACTCTAAGCCGGTAAGCGTGTTTAATGTGCAATAAATCAATCCCCAGGAAATTGTGATTTTCACCTTTCATATATCAATCCCTGGTATATCTAATCGTAAAATATAAGTGGGCTTTAATGAGAAGCTGCCAGGATAAAAAAGTCAGAGAAAAGTAATTTTTACTTCTTTTTAGAGCTTAGTCAAACATGCTCTATATACCGATGTTAGAACTATCCTCGTCCCCCTCCCCCTCTTCTTGTTGATATCGTCACTTGGCATTATTTTGTGACAAGCAGCAGGAATTGGAATCTCAGGAGAAATATCCAAAGCCACAACCGAAGGATGAAGAAGTTGTTTTTGACGAGGAAGAAGATGAAGAACATGGCGAAACACTATGTGGCGCCTGTGGAGAAAACTATGCATCGGATGAATTTTGGATCTGCTGTGACATATGTGAGAAGTGGTTCCATGGCAAGTGCGTGAAGATTACCCCTGCTAGGGCCGAGCATATCAAGCATTACAAGTGTCCTTCCTGCACCAACAAGAGAGCTCGACCCTGATGTAGAATACGAACCTAAGCACATGTACTCTAAACTCTGCTAACTGCTGTTGTTGATCAGGCCGCTCTTGTTTTTAAGTGTCTATTTTATCTTTAGCATTAACCTGTGAATGGGGGTTCATACTTGAGTATAGTATTATTTAATTCTAGTTGGCAAAAGTAGGGCCCCGTGTTACTTGAAATGTTATGTTTTTCTTTCATTCAGTAGGAATTTCAGCTTTGTAATATTCTGCGACTCCGTAGTTGTATTAGAATTCTCGTTATTCAGATAGATCAAGACTAGTGCTTCATTTTCAATTCGAAGAATTTCATTTTCAAGTGCTTGTACAGAAATAGCTAACTCATATTAAACATAGTCGTAACTTTTTAAAGCTTAACCAAAAACGCTCTTACATCAACATTCAAATGCTCCTAAGGAGGACACATTTGTCAAAACAATTTGTTTTTTTAAATCAGTTCTAAATAAATGTTTGTGCCGCCTCTCTAAAATAGGGATTACGTTATGTTGACATCCAAGATTTGTCCACAATATGGGCAACCCGAAACAAACGTTCTTTCAACAAGATTATTTAAGGAAATGGCACGAAGAATTCAAAATATAATTAGAAATTTCCATTTGCGAAAGAAATAACAAAGAAAATTAGCACAATCCACACATGATTATAACATTCATAATGGCCCATAACTTGAGAATCTTTCATTACAAATCAACACTGACAACCCGCTCTCAAACCAAACCGTACCATGGTCCTGAGATGACTCATGTCAGTCTCTCCCCCTAAAACAAGACAAAACCACATGCCCAATGTCATGAGAGTATCCATCCGCTCTAAAAATCCTTTCAGCTTACCAAGAATAACCTTCACGTTAGAAATTAAGAAAAAAGTTAAGAGCGGAGAGTAGTTCAAACCCGACTCAAGTCTTGGTGGATCTGTTCATTCCACCTTACTTCCCTGGGGAAATTGGGTAAACTAAAACATATGTACTTAGTGAGGCAGAAACCTCCCAGAGAATCACCAGTTAGGAGTTTTGATTATAAAACAACACGAAAGATAGCCTGAAGTAGTTCAAATCTTCAAATTGACTAACCTCCTCTAATACCACTTTTCTTAACTTGTAACTCCTAAATATTACGTAATCTGCTTTATATACACATTCTTTTCATTAAGGATATTGCAGAAGAGATGAGAAGCAGAACTGCAGCAATGAGCTTTAGAAGACAATAACAGCAATCGTAATCACCACTGCCACAGTAAATATCAAAGCCTGCATGATCAATCAGATTGTATGAAGCAAGCGTTTTTTAAGCAAGATCCAAACTGCACAACAACGTCATAGGCACGCAGTAATTCAAAATATAACTGGCAATTTTCTATTTATGAAAGAAACAGCAAAAGAATCAAGCACATAATTTGCAACTTGTAAGCTCTACCAAACATGCTGATAATTGACTTGTTTAACAAGGTTAAAACAACAAAACATCTCAAACATGCAGTAAATTGTCCAAACAAGATTAACACGAGACGATTATCAGGGGCTGCTACCATTGAACTACTAGCCTGCCATAAAAGCCTCCCAATACAGACTCTATGTTACATAGTATTCCTATTGAATGGCCAAATCTGCAAGAGGCTCCTATATTGTCAACTTGAAAATACGATGTTTCTATAATGGTAAAAAGTGTTAAAATTATAACTCTACAATGACTCAAATTTTCATTTTTCCACAATACAAAACTATCAAAACAAGGTATCGAAGCTCAATTATCACTTTATCAGAATGGGCAGCACAGGATAGAGCCGGACTGGTGTATTTATGTTAAATTTTTGCCTACTAATAACACCAAAAGTAAATAAGCATCAAGGGAGCACTTACAGCTATTGCATTTGCTGAAAGCCCCATTCGTTCTCTAGGATCTTTGTGGTAATACTTCCCAAAGTAAAGAATAGTGGCATAATACCACAACAAGGGGCATACAAACCCGAGTAGAAGACTGCAAAGAACATGTACATGTGAAAAAGGGAAAAAAAAAAAAAAAGGAGTCGACGACACGTAAGGAGTTCAAAACTCACAAAAACCATCCTATTCCACAGCCAAAGCAAGGAAGTGGTTTGTCATAGATGCCTAAATGATTGTCTTCCACATCTCTAATGGGAGCATAATCTTCATTCTGATGCTGATTGTCATTTTTTAGAAGTCCTGTACTCATTAAAATTCCTTGAGCCACTTAGCTAGAAGGGTAGAGCTTACAGCACAAAATTGGCTACCAATTTGAAAGTAATCGTCATGAGAAAGATATCTAAAAAGAAAAGAGAATCCAATTTGTATAAACAAGCAACTATCTAAAAAATGTACTAAAAGGAAAAAAATATAATAAAACAGAAAACAGGGTTTGAAATGAAGTTGTCCAAATAAGCCAGTTCCATTGAAGTAGTGGTCATACTTCTAACAGAACTAACAAGATAAATGCCCAATTTTCATAAAAGAAAACATTCCAGGAGAGGGGGTTTGAAACACAAGTAATTATACATAGTTACATACTTTGATCCATGTTTTCCGATATAATGAATTAGGCATGGAGCATGATGATATCCTTATTTCTCCTCCTCCCTAACTCCTGTAACATACAACATCAACCAACTAATTGCAGAACATGAAACATGAAACATTTCAGATTCCTCGTAAATGAGATTTTATTACCACGGTGTGAATAAAGAATATATCACTTAAATTCAACATGCATAAAACAGAATACCATCATTGTAAGCCTGGTCGGCTGAAAATTTAGCAAGTGCACATAAATTCTACACATGAAAGGACCCTACAAACTTGTCTTAAGAAATTAATCAATTATTATGACTGAAAAACGTAGATCAGACAAGCTTATGGCATATCTACTGAGAACAATAAGATAGTATTAGAAAGTAACTACGGAAGAAAATTATGTTGAAAACTTGTTTATTTTATTGTCTACTTCGAGTTCTGTACCAAAGGCACTTTAAGTCCTTGCATAAAATTTCCACAATTCTCAAAAAGTACTTTTATTGGATAACCCAAAAACATTAGACAATTTATTACTAAATGAACTTCCACCAAAATTTCAGGCAAAAAAACCTTACTGCAAGTTAATACCAGATCGAATGTGGTCACTGCTTTGCCATCATATATTTAATCCAGCTGCAGATTTTTCCTCAGGAAAAACACGAAGGTAAGTAAAACTTCAGCCTACTCTGAGAGTATTCAGTTAAAATTTCTACAGCGATAAGAAAGATAAAACAGTTTAAAAAATTGCCCTAAATTGCACCTAAAATGGGAGGGAATCAGTAACAAGCCAAAAAACCAATTTTTTGACATATAATACTGATATATAAGAAATCTAAAACGAAAAAGCCTTGAACAAAATAAGAAGAAAACGTAAACATTAAGCGATTCATTTGAGAGAATATTTCTAACTAAAGCCAGATACTTACGAGCAAAGGAAAGAATGAAAAGGGTTTACAGCCATTAACAAATTGATAATTCTGAAAAAAGAAAAAAAACATAAAGAAAGAAGAAGAACGTCATTTCTTACTCTGAACTGGAGATGTTAAGAGAAGATTAATGTGAAAAAGGCAAGAGGCAACTAGTACCTTTATGCTCCAACGTTGTGAACGACAAGAAACCTGAGGAGATCTATGGTAAATTCCTTCAGGGCCTCGACCTTTGGTAAGTCGCAGTCATGTCATCAAACTTTCATAATTGTGACACTCATGTCATGGAATTAAAAGAAATCGTTTGGCTACGAAGATGAGTTAAAGAATGATTGAGAAATTTTACCGAATTTTTAGATGAAAGTCGAAATCATGATTTATATTATTTAAAAATAAAAAGAAAATGATTTGAAGTAAAATAAATTAAAAAGTATGTAGGTTCACGATTTTTGTTTTAATCCTATAACCTATCGTAATGATTATTTAGGAATAATTTGTTTTGAAATAGCTTATTTGTAATAGTACGAAATTAAATCCTTTTCTTATTTGATTTTAATTTTGTTTCTTATCCTCACACTTTATATGCTCAATGTATAAAATTAAATTTCTCACATCAACAACCAAAAATAAACTAAAGTTCAAATGGTTTACTAATTTGTTTTTGGATCATGCTACATGTATCAAACTATTTTACCGAATCTTTTACCTACGGAGATGAGGACCATATTGTTGAAATTTTTAAATACACGCAGCCGCCCTGCATTATGTGAGAATGGGTAAACCATTATGTACAAATGGATTAACCCTTTGTTTTTACCTTGATATAAAAATTTAAGTTTGAAAAATGTTATTAAGTAAGCAGCAAGCACCTATAACACTGGTGATGCTAAGCGCAATATATGCATTGGTGTCACTACTACATTATCGAATAAATAAAATTTCATTTCAATTTCGTTGAACGATTTGACAACGAACCCACTGCCATGTATAATGTGTAAGCACTAATAGACAATTTTCTTGTCTACATGACAAAATGTTTGAATGGAAACCATCCTTAGAAATGAGATATATTAATTAATGGAAGATTGAAAATAAGAATGTGATGAAAACAAGGTCGCACAAATATGATTATAAGTAAAAGTGAATGCCCTTTAAGGCAATGAAAATGTGGCGCACTTAGATGAAATTATGTCAGTGTAANAAAAAAAAAAAAAAAAAACAAGTTACTTATCAAGTGATACATGGAGTGACGACCAAATAATGTAACAAATAACTACCTGTAATAAACTCGTGTTTTCAGAAGTTAGTTGCCTGCCAATCTGTCTCCATTCATATAAGAACGGAATAAGGAAGTTTGTGATCATGGCTTGCTGAAAATGGCACGAATCCAACGACTATCTTGCAACAGAGTACATAGCATCACCGAAGGCATAGCAAAGGGAACGCTAAATGTTAATTTTGTGAGAAAAGTGCAACGTTTTTTTTCCCCAAACATATTAGTTATGTTTATTTTTTCTTACTTTTTAAGTTGTTAAGTTACTCATTCTGAAAGTACTTAACTTATTATCAAAATAAGTAACATACTCATTTTCAACTTTGACCAATGAAGCTTTATTTACTTAAAAGTAAAACTGGATATAACAACATACTGATCTCTAATGTTATAAGAGGTGGACATACCGCTGAACTGAAATATTATGAAAACGATTCTCCATTTGTCTGCAGTATGTGTTGATATCCACAATGTTGAAGCCAGCCCTTATGAACAAACTGGACAAGAAATCCTCAGAGAAATAAAACGAGCACTGTAAATTAAACAAAACCATCAGAACTAAGGCTTCATCAAGTAACTCAACAATGTGAATTTCACAATCCAAAACTCCCAAATACTTACCGTGCCATCCCCTCGAAAATAAAAATTATCACTGATCATCTGATTCTTCTTCTCCAACTTCACCTGAAAATTTTGCTCTTCAGATATATGCCAAGAAGGCATGAAGCTTCCTATTCAATAGCATGTTTGACTAGAACAATTAGTAAGTTCATATATAAGTAAATAATAACTGTTTTTACAAATCAAAGTTAAAAATAAGTTACCTTCCAAATAACTTTTTTTTGCTTAAAAAGAAAAAAGTAACTTAACCAAACGCGCTCAATATGAAGCAAGACGGATATAAAGAAAAGAAAGATGGGACAGACGAGAAATATGGATAGCAGGATGTAATTTATAACAGCTATCAACATGTCTTCTGCACTAGTTCTTTAGAAGAGAATGGCCATGAATCCATTAAATCTAGGATATTTGACAAATCAAAACGGTCCCTGGTAAAAAATTTCAGCTATCACTCTGAGAATTTCGTTGACTAAGCTATCAATTATGCATATCAAAGGATTTACTTTGAGGATAGAGCATCATGTTAATTGCTTGGTCGAGAGGAAACATAGAACTACTATGAGAAGATGAACACGGATCAGAAAAAAAGAAGTGCCTCTGATTTATTGTTTTTACATCTTAAGTCAACAAATGATCTGGACTTATGGAAAGGAACTAACTTGAGCAGAATCTCCAACCGCATAATCTCTTAAAAGAATGTGACCATTTGGCTGCAAGTTAAGATATCCATGAGATGATATTTCCATGTAAATAGAACAACCAAGTAAAGGAAGGAGAAAAGTAAAAAGAACGGTAGTAATGCAACTGAAAAATTAACACAACCTTTAGTACTTCCTTAAGGTTTTGTACCACTGAAAGCATCTTATTCGGAGGAACTGCAGACAACATAAAAATCTGCAAAACCAGTTAACAAGTAGTTAGGTGAATGTTGAAGACAATATTTAAATAAATATATATGGGCATCTATAATAGCTTAAGTTGTTAGATGAAATGCTTAACATGATATCAGAGCTAGGCAACACACTTTGCCGCCGTCCATTCAATAAAATTGTGCACGTGTCATACTTTATCAAAAAAATAAATTGTCTACAAATTTGGGCGTGTGGTTGAAGACAACGTTTAAATGAACTTACAACTTAAGCTTTTAGATGAGATGGTAAACAAAATGTAAATTTTCTTCTAGGAAGCAGGAAAGTTGAGATATAACCAATGGTTAACCACTCGGCACTAGAACTGTTAAAGACATGTAAATAATTTCGCAATACTTTTCATGACAATAATTCCATAACATTTCCTTCTGATATTTCCTTGATTGTCTGTGATTATTTCAATATCTGACATCCTCCGGATCTTTAACAATAACATTTACTCTTGTCCCGTGAATTTAACTTACCAAGGTAACAACATCAACAGAAGATGGAAGAACTTTCTCAGTGAGGTCATCATTTGCAACATCACAGAGGAATACATTTATTTGGGCTTCACTGAAATTTGAATGCGACTGCAATTGATAAGACACCAAATGTTAAGCATAAAACTCCCATCCATAACTATTATTTGACAAAACTTAAAAATCACAAATCAATTAAAAAGCAACACGTACTTGGAACTCCTACTTCATGGAACAGACACAAGTATACAAACACAAAAGTTCTCATATTATTGAAGTATCTTGTATTTTTTTTTTCCATTTCTGCCCAAGGGGTCGTGAGATTATTAATCTCGAAGAAAAGGTGAAAAAAGAGTTTGCAAACCTTAACAAGAGTTACAGCCTGGGGGGAAAAATCACAAGCATGAACAAAGAGTTTAGGATATGCAGCAATGAGGGGAAAGATACTGTTCCCAGCTCCACACCCCACCTGAAATTCACTCAGCAACCAATTAAGAGCATGTTCAGTTAAGATTAAAAATGTAAAAGTATCTTTCCCAAAGTAAGTAAAAAAAGGTAAGTTTTTGAACTGAGAAAAAAAAAAGGTAACAAATATCAAACATGTTCAGAGAAAAAAATTTACTCAAAATTAGCTCTAAGCTTATTCAAACATATCGCAATATTTCAGTGGCACATTATTTCAAACATCACAGCTACCGTCTACAGTAACTTGTACTGGCATATCGTTTAACATGTAAAATTAAGACCGTCTTCACCTCTAAAAGAACCTTCGCATTTACATCTTCATCCGTGACCGAAAAATAATTGCCCCAGTCCTTCTCCAGGTAATGCCTGTTCTTGAAAAACTGCATTGCAATTTTGAAAGCAATTTCAGCTTGAATATCGAGCTATAATAATTAACAAAACCCACAAGTTAGAAAAGAGGGGCTGACAGTTAGCTCCAAGAGAGACCGAAAAATCAAGAAACCTTGTTCTTATGGCGCTTGTAGAACTTGTCCCAGTAATTGACCGACTTCCTGCAGAAATAGTGTTCATTGGTATCGTTCACATATTTAGAGGAGGATAATGAAACAATACGAATGGTGGGAATTTGGGGGCAGTTTCTCCGAAAACCGGCTACTGCTGGAATTGAGCCCGTGAAAAAATATGAAGGTGATAACATTTCAATCGCGGGAACACGGCGGCACACCCCTTCAATACAGTTTTCCCCTTTTGTTTGTATACATTTATTTTCAATTTGTTTGATAAATTGCGCGCATTCATGTTGAACCGGTCCGTTTCATTATTTAACTGAACCGATCGTATGTAACCGGTCCGATTTTTATTTATCCCCACCAAAAAGTCGCCGCTTAAAAGTCCAATAAGAAGAACAAAAACCTAATACACGCATCTCTCTCTTCCTCCCTCCACGCCCCGATCCCGGACCTCCAATCGGGTCAGTGGACAACTCGAACCCAAAACCAGAGATGGCATACCAACCTGGAGCTCCGAATCATAGCACCTCCCACGATGATAACGAATCAAATCGTCGACTCTACAACCCGTACCAAGATTTGCAGGTACCGATACAAACCCTATACAAGCTGCCCACCTCGCCGGAGTATCTTTTCCCGGAAGAATCCAGCGCTCAGCGCAGGTCTTGGGGCGAGAATCTCACCTACTACACCGGAGTCGGCTATCTCGCCGGCTCGTCTGCCGGCGCCGCAAAAGGGTTCGTATCAGGGGTCAAGTCAATTGAACCCACTGACACGCTCAAGCTGAAGATCAACCGGATCCTCAACGGGTCGGGCCAGGCCGGCCGACAGATCGGAAACAGATGCGGGATCATTGGGCTCCTCTACGCCGCACTCGAGAGTGGCATGGTAGCTTATAGGGACAACGATGATGTCATCAACAGTGTTGTGGCTGGACTCGGCACCGGTGCCCTCTACAAGGCTGCGGCTGGGCCCAGGTCCGCTGCAGTGGCCGGGGCGATTGGCGGTGTGCTTGTTGGGCTTGCAGTTGCGGGGAAACAGGCCTTGAAAAGATACGTACCCATCTGAATAATTTCTTCTTCGTATTCTTTCTCTCGGGTTTATGATCTTCTAAGTTATAATCATATCTAGAATCTTTCTGTTTGAAGCTGGAAAATGCAAATTTTGATGACTCTCTCAGGAATTATGGTACTGAAAATTGAGTTATTAGTATGTTTGTGCAGGTTCATGCTTAATATTAGTTCTATAATGGTGAATATATTCATAGTCCTACCTACATTGTCATTTCATCAAAAATGTAAGCTATAATGTTTACGTAGTTTGTAGAAGACGAGGATTCGTGAATAAAATTTGAAAAAAAAAACCTTCATTGTGGGTATTCTATTATCTCAATTGTGTATGCATTTTATGTTTTTTCCTCATCTAATACTTTTTTGAGTAGTTTGTTCTGAAATTACTCAATGCATATTTAATTTGAATCCATGGGTTGGTAAATTCTAAATTGGTTTTCATTTTGCTTCAATTAATCACGCCACTGGATTTCTTTCTATTATCATTATTTTCCTTGCGTCTCTGCCCTTGAGAAGTTTGTGGGTTCATCGACCAACTAATATCCGGAGGTTTCAATATATGCTTTCATTATGCATGAAAATATAGTGTGTTAAGACTTGAGAACCGAGGTTTTAAGGAGATGGCGTGATTATCCTTAGCCGGGTGTTACCCGATAGGAGTTGTATAACCTCGTAGTGTTTAACTGGTTGATGAATTCATGTTTTTTGTAGACGCACCTTGCAATGGATGACTTGTTTTTTCGCATTTTCTTTCCCTTATGACTTAGGAGCTAGGCGAATTATAGTTATCTATAAGACTATAACAGTAATCAATTCCCTCCATTTCAATGAAAATGATGTTGTAGGGAGGAAAGGCTTGTATCTTTTTGAGTTTATTAATTCATCGAATCTTGTCATTGTCTTGGTAAGGTAGAATGTGATTGGAACTGTGAAGAATTTTTTTGCCCCCCTCACCGGTAAGAGGGAAGGCAATGATTTTGTGTGTTAGCTTTCAAACGCTGCATTTTAATCTAGCTTAGGGTGAAGTTAATATGTACGGATCTTGATAGTACACCCATCTCTTTTCAAAAGATGATTTCGGAAATTTAATGATGATTTCAGAGAGTAGATGAGCATCCTATATTGAAGTAAAAATGTTGCTTCTAACATTGTTGCCTCGCGACAATCATTCTGTGTTTCAAGTCTCAACACTAGAAATTTTCATGCATTAGATTTTATATTAAAAATCATTGTGTTGAAAATAAAAGATAAATAAATTTGTCTTTTGGTTCAAGAGGTATATTTTCAAATTTGTGGTCGGAAATTCACTGTTACAATCTCTGAACTTTGGGATACATTATTAGATAACTGTATTTCAATTCTGTTCAATCAAGTAATTATGCTTAATTTAATTTTAATTGGATAATTGTGTCTAGGTTCATCATTGGAACATTCGAAAATCGATGACTTAATAGTCTATGATGCTCACCATTCATCTTAACATAGTTGTACTTATTTCGTTAACAACTAACGATTGTGTGTTTAATTATGTCACGTTTTCGTTTATCGTTAGTGAAATTGAACGGTTAAGTTAACTGAAATCAAATTAACGTATGATTACTCGGTTGGAATCAAATTAAAGTGAAATAGAGTTACTTAATTGATCTAAGTGATAGTATAATTACTACTAATGCTGTAATAGCAAGAAACATAAAGCAAAAAGAAGAGAGAACATTTCAAGCACAGCTGAGATAAAATTTTGGATATGCATTAGCTAGCCACTTTTAATTTGAGAACCACAAGCGTGTAGCAGCATAATAAACAAGATTTCAAAACTTTTTACTCATATAATATTGTCTATTACTATCCAATTCCCCTTCCCCTTACACTAGCACCCCATTATTCCAAAAAATCATGTTAACATTGCTGAATTGTTCCTCTGAGAAACAACACAAAGAATTGGCATGGTTGGTACAATCAGAACATTTGTGTAATGCATCTGATACCTTCATGGCTTCGCCATCAAAACAGAAATAGATACAGGGAAAAATCGATTCAACTCAGGATTCTCGATGTATCCTTTGAATGCCTTTAGCCATTCCGCGCCAATGGCACCTAAAGAAACATGATGAATTTGACATCGTTAGAGATGTTTAGAGTATGTTTGGTAGTGCTTTTAAGTGTTGATAATCCGTGGGTTACCAAATGTGTGAACTGTTACAGAGGAACTTTTCAAAGAGCTAAAGCAGCAGCAAGCAGTTGAATAGATGTTTAGTTGTAGCAGAATTACATGGCTTTTTGTCCTTCCCATTGAGGAAGAATAATCCCAGAAAAATAACTAGCAAAAATAATAAAAAGGGATAGGATCATCATTCCAAAGATCTTAAACACCTTAATCACAAGATCATTAACGGATATCTTCTTCCCACCAGAAGCTTCTTGCAACGAATTGAGCTGGCTACGCAATCTGCAGTCATAGCAGAATTCAACACAATATGAAACAATTTTGGGGTCAAATTCTTGAACAGTGGGGAGACATCAATACTCACTCCATAAGTTTGTCAACGAGCGTATCTACAGTCAAGTAATAATGGGGGATGGTTTGTTTCGATTGCAACATTCGTGATGCTGTCACCTGTTAGGATAACACAATAAGCCAATGTTTGTTGCTATTATTTTGAAAAAACAATGTTTTGAATAGTGATTGTTTGGGAGAATGTGTGGTTAAAAAGTAGACGTGCAAAATATTTTATTGTGTGAATGTGTGATTTAAAATGAGTATGTGAATTAAAAAAATTTGAAATAATGAGTGTCAAACAATGGCTAAATCAGCCACAGAAAAACACCAAAAATTTGCACCGGTTGCACAAGTCACCAACCCCCCAAGATTTTTTTTATTGTGTGCTTGGGCGTGGAAAAAAGAAAAGAAGAAAAAAAACAAACAGTAACCTCACCCATCAGAAATGGAGCATAAGTGCATAACTGTAGAGCGGAAACATAAAACAGTGTCGGCATAAAACTAAAAACTCAGGAACTGAGACCTATATGGGCCCAAAATTTGATGACAGTGCCGGTTTAGCCTTTTAGGCTGTGCCAGGAAATGTGGTATCAATGCAGCATCTGTGTATGTGGGACGTCTGTGTAATCGAAAGCAGCAGCTGCAGTTCTGCCAAACTTGGGAGACTGAAATTTCCTTCCCACGAGATGCTATGGCAAGAAGGTAATGAATGGGTACTAAATTATTTAACAATAAACTGGATAATTAAATGAAAAATAAAACATAGCAAATAAGTAGCCGTGAACTTGACACTGCAAATGAGAAACAATTGAGAAGCATCAAGAATCAGGACATCAGCACAGGAAATACATGTAAGCACAAGGATGAATATGAAATACCAAGATAATCTTCAATGTCCAATGCGTCCATCGGGACCCGTTCCTTTTCGCAAGAGGTACCTATGGTCGATTATAGACTCCAGCAATCAGAGATTGTACAACAAAATCCTCTCCAAAGGTGAAATTATTATTAGATGATATAGTTATGTATATTGTTATCTTCAGCTAGCTGCTTGGCAAGAGGACTAGGAAAAATGCGATTTTCTGCTGAAACAGGTGCACCGAGCTTGGAAACTTTTGGCTCAGGTGAAGAAACAGGCACTTCTGCAATCTCTTCTTTTGGTGGTGTTGGACCAGAGGGCACATTGGGCGAAGGTGCTGCATCCGAACTAGAAGGTAATAATCATACAAAAAATAGGTAATTGTGCCAAAATGGTTTGGTTTGCTTCTTTTAGTCAATGCTGATAACTTGGGTTCAAGCCAAACTACTTATTATTAGGTAACCATAAACATATACGTAGATAGATTGAGATTTGGACTTTAGTCAATGTTGCATTTTTTTTGGCTAACTTCCAATGAGAATGCGGTGTGTAAAAATTTGTTTTTGATTCTGTTCCAGTAGCAGGGCCAGAGTTTAAAAAGGCCCAATTAAGGTCCACCGAGCGGGAGCTATAAAGAGGGAAAGACGGTCTCACCCCTCGAAAGTTTCGCACACACTTTCATTCTCTAAATACTGTAAAATCTCTCGGTATTCAACATTTTTTTTTTTGTATGCGAACATGGAAGGTTAATCGATTTTTCATCGGTACACACCGAAATTTCCAATCAGTCCTCCGCCGAACTGCTAACAGCGGCGAGGTGTAGTTAATTTTTGCGATTCCGAAAGGGTAAAATGGGGAATCAGAAGGTGAAGTGGACGGTAGAGGAAGAGGAAGCCCTAAAGGCGGGAGTAGTGAAGCACGGCCTCGGCAAGTGGAAGAACATTCTCAGAGATCCTCAGTTCGCTCCCTATCTCAGTAATCGTTCTAATATTGACCTTAAGGTTTCCCCATTTTACACCTCATGCCATTCATCATAAGTTCTCTATTCTATTTTACGGTCGGTTGATTTTCAAAAGTTTCATGTTCGTTTCTTTATCTGGACGTTTTAACTAAAACATCGCTATTACTTGATCATACGTGTAATAGCATGTTTCTGCTTAATTAAAGTGAATGTTTAGCTAATTATTAGTAAATTAGTAAGTTTTAAAGTAATCTTAAAAATGTACTATGTGTTTGGTCAAAATAAGTTGCTTTTTATAAAGATGAAAAGTACTTGTCTAAACATATCTGAAACAAAAATTCACTCACTAGTAAGTTAGACTTACAAGCTTTTCCAAACACGCACAAAGTAAAGTATCTTGTTACAAATCCAATCTTTTGCTTGAGGAGACTTTAGTGCCACCATGATCAAACAATAGCTATCCTTGAAACTGTAAAGAGAACTTCTGAAAGTTAAAGGTATCTATGCTATAGGCTCTTGTGTCCTCTTAGGAAAATTTACTAGACAGAATTACTTCTAGTCAGAAATTTATCCAGGCTGAAATCTTCTTTTGAAGGATCTAATGTGAAGATTCAATCTTATTACAAGAAAACCGATACTTAAGACAGGGTAGTCACATGTATTTGAAGTCTGGGTAGTCACATGTATAATTGAAATAAATGAAATTGGTAGAGCTGATGATCCTTTAGAAGTGCAGAATCGAAGTATAGTGCTGCACAAGTAGGCATAATTGTTGAGTTCTACCAAAGCTTTATTATGCCATTCAAACTATTAATAAATAATCATGCTACTCAAGGAGACATGTATCTTGGTTGTAATATGCAACCGAGGCGAAGAAATATGTAAAATGTGTAGAAGAAAAAAAATAAAATGATACATGCTGTTATATATGTTGTTTTTTGTTTTAAGCAATATATAGGCCTCCCTGAATTTACTTGTCCTTTTGTTGCATGTATTTATGTTTTATACTTCCTGTTGCTCATGGTATTTACTTGTCTTCATTTTGGTTCATCCACACAGGACAAGTGGCGGAACATGTGTATTAGCTATGGACAGTGCTCTAGAAAAAAATTGAAGGCTTCTAGAGTAAAAACAATTTCATCTGAGGCTCTCTCCACTCTCACCACGGGAAACTTAGTTGCCGAGGTTGACGCTATTGATGATTTTTCCGGAAGTCCACAGGACGTTAGAGATGCTCCAGGGTACTGCTTTTTCCTTTTCCATGTTATAATAATTTCTTATGACGCTTACGTCAGCAGAAAGGAAGAATATAGGAAATGTTGGAAGGAATTAGGTTTTCTGTAGGCTAATATCTGATTTACTGTGTGTTAGTCCAGTTTTTCTTATTTCTGGAAAAACGTGAATTTTCTTTACTCTTATACATACAACTTACTGGTTTCTGTCTCTGTGTTTATTCTCATTATGTATTAAAAGCAGTGCTGAGCTATCTTTGATTTTGCTAAGAAATTGTTGCATAGGTATATATTTCTTTCTCACTGGATGCATGATGTGTATTAGATACAAAACCATGATATTTGAAGCACTTTCATCCATCAGAGACTCCAGTGGATCCAATATTGATGATATCGTGGGATTTATTGAGGTCAGATGGATGTTCTACTGTTCTCCAGTTTCTAATTTCTGTTTTATCTAGAAGGATTTGTATCAAGTGATGAAAAAATAGTTTCTGAGATAAACAATTTGTGCATTATTGTGTTTGGCAGTTTAATCAGCCTATCATGATTTATCAATTAGAAAATGAACCCTAGAGTTTAACCTTTTGCGGAAGAGCTTATGAAGTCAACTATGCTTATGATTGGTTTGTGAAGTTCAAGGCAGCATTGGCATCATAGTATCAAAAGAGTCTACAGTATTAAAAAAATTGGTGTCTTATAGATAGACTCTGGGATTCTTGAATCATAAAATCACCATAATCTAAAAGGCAAAAATATTTGGAGATTCTCTACTTTTCTTATGGAGTTGTGGTTTTCTGTTTATATCCCAGGCTATGCTGCCTCCTGTTTCAGTTTCTACGAATCAAAGAGAAATTCCAGACATGTTTCCATGAACTTATTGAGTTACATTTTATACTAAAGAAGTAATCTCCATTTCACTAATTTATCTATTGTTTTCTGTTAATTTCATCACTGAATTAAATTTAATGAGGGAATACGTACCAAGAAGAAAAAAAGGGAATTCATCAAATAGAAATTCACTATACCATGTCAAAGAAATTTCTTCTGCAGTTTTCGTGAATTTAAAGTTCCTTGTCATTTGAATTTCTCGTCTCAGTGAAACTATTTGTCAAATGTGGATAACTTTTGACAATTTTTTGCGTTTTGTGGAAAAGAGAAGTTTCTGTAATAAATGCCAGTTTAATTTGTCACCTGCCACACGAAATTCAAAAAGAAAATTTGTCTCCTGCCACTTACAATTTCCATGCACGCAGAGAAGTGCTGCCAGAAGTTGGCCTAGTTAATATTTGTTTTTAACTGTAATTGAATATGAGTTCAATATTTAGCATGTCTCTCTCATGCGTAACAGCAAAAGCATGAAGTGCCACAAAATATCAGACGAATACTGAGTACAAGGCTGAGGAGACTTGTCTTGCAAGGAAAACTTGAGAAGGTATATCACTCTCAACCCTTAAGTGGCGTCTCAAATTATAATACTCTTTCCTGCACTACAACTTTATCTGATTTGATAGTGCATGGATCTGTTGGAGATATGGGCTGAATATTCAACATGATATGGACCAAAATATTATCTCTGTGTTTGACCATGTAACTGAATGCCTTCGTTTTTTTATTTTTAATTTATTTTTTTGGCTCAATCTGTAATTGCTTCTGAATATTTTCACTGACAAAAGATGCTGCATTTTCTCTACTCGCCAAAAGATTGGATTGTAGTAGCATACTATCGAATTATCTAATTTCAATAAAGTTGCTAATTGTTTGGTGTGGCTGTTTCACAACAATCTAAACTTGAAACATATACCTGTGTTTTTTTAGTCAGGCTCGCTGCACTTAATGTTTATGCATGCATTGGTCTTGCTGCTTTTGGAATGAACTGAAAATGTTTATCTTTAAATTATAGCATGGTTGTGCATATGGAGGGGCAGGTAGTCACCAATTTATTTTACACGTGTTTGGACTTTTGCATTGCTTTTGTTTAGTTCATTTTACAAGGGAGACTCTCGAGATTTTGTTAAACCATTCATTGTCAGAAACAGGTTAAAGTTAGTCTCGATGGTGGGCTTGGCTAGTTGGTATCCATCATCGGCGCACATCGCGTCTGTGGACCGATTCATGTGCTTGGGCCTTCTTAACGTGCATCATTTGATGACTCAGCTGAAACCCCTCTATGCATGCTATCAACTTACCAAATGAGGTGCAGAGAAAGTGAACATTACGAGCCTGTTGACATTTCCTATATTCATTATTCCGGTGGAGGGGATGGGTTCCATTGATTTCATTCTGGCGGACACCCTCTTCCTCCCGTCCTCGTTGTTTCTGCATTAGTAGGGGACATAATATATATTACCTTTGGTAATCTGTCTTTCATATATGCCATAACGTGCAGGTCCAGGACCGCTACAAGATCAAAGATGCAACTTTGGGGACGAAAACACCTATGCCAAAACAAAAAGACATCTCCGCTGAAACAGTGGAAGATGCTGCTATGACTGCTGCCTACAAGATTGCGGATGCAGAAGATAAATCGTTCGTGGCAGCAGAAGCAGTTAAAGAGGCTGAAAGGGTCTCAACAATGGCCGAAGATGCAGATTCATTTCTGTTGCTTGCGAATGAGATTTTTGAGAAATGTGAGTACTGCTATTGCGTCGAGCATGTTTGGCTAGAGTTAAAAAGTTGCTTATTTGCAAACAGTTCAAATAAGTAACATTTTCTCTCTTTTTGTGCATTTTCAGGTTCGAGAGGTGAAACCATTCGCTTGGCAAATTCATCCTATAATTTTGATTAAATACTAAATTCTCGGTGTACATAAAGCCCGTCAAGAATGGAGATGCTCTTTGGTTTTGTTTCTGCAGGTGGGAACTATTTTGCTCTAGTTAGAAGGCAACAGGCTTAAGCTCTTTCTAGACTCGAGGATCGGTTTCTTATTTTGCAGGATTTTGAGAACCGTTGCTCGTTACGGTTGTGCATTCTACCCTTCTATGATTATTTTTGTATCTGTGAAATATTAGTTGTTAAATAGTTAATTTATCTTTGGTGTTTATTTTCTTTTCTATTTATTTTCTAATTTTAGTAGAGTGTGTAATAGCATCCAATGCTAATGTCATTTGTACTATAAGGGTTGTCAGTTGCCACATAAGTTAAAATAGAAAATGTTTTTAAAAAAAATTCTTCAATGCAACACGTCTGGGACTGGAATCATGTTTAGCTGATATGCAAGGAAAAAAGTAGACATGGTCAATATGACTGTTTAGATATGTAGAGGTTTTCATAGATTTTCTGTGATTTAACTTTCACGACATTTTTTATTTAAACAGATTTTAAATAACAAAAATACACAAAAATGATTGTAATTATAATTTAAATGACATTAATTTTGAAAGATTTTATAGGATAGGGAAATAAATATTATTTATGAAGATGGGATATATAAAAAAATAACTAGCGTTTAATTAAAAAAAATTTTGTAGTTTAAACAAGAGTACTTTATAATTATATTGTCAAATAATCAATTTTTTTTTTCTCCACTAATAAAAGTTCTACTCGCAATAATTGTGTCCAAAATAACTTGTTCTATCTATCATGCAACTCTTGGGAAGGGAGTCTCCATGCATCAAGGCAAAACATGTAGCAACTACCGAACTCATCTTGCCCTTCCTGGTTCCAGCATTCAAACTGCAAACTTTAAGGGACTATTCTCTTTGTGTTTTAGTTTTGAATTTATTTTGAGTTTTACGTTTTGAATGTTCATTTTGAAATTGTTAAAAATTTGTTCTTTTTGACATTTTAAAAAATTGTTTTCAAAACACCCCAAAAGACATTGTCATTTTGAGTTTTCTATGTAAATTTTTAACTTGTTTAAAAAAAAAAAAACGTTTTCAAAAGTAGGAAAAATAACGCATTTTCACTGTTTTGAAAAATCGAAAACAGAAAACGATTTGAAAATAGTAAAGAGAACAGATCCTAATTTACAGTATATTTAGCCCATGTTTGGCACTGATTTTCTACAACTCATTCTTAACAACATATCTATAAAGTTCAACATTTTGATTTATTATTATTATTATTATTATAACAAAATTTGCTAAAACTTTAATTTTTAGCCAAACTAAACAATGACTCCAATGTTTGGTCTTCATTTTTTCGAAACTCATTTTCAACCACATTCTTCCATAAAATAATATTATACTTAAATCGAAAAATTTTCCTTATTTTTTAACCATGCATACTCCAAACAATCACTATTCCAAAACTCATTTTAATTTCACCAAATTTTTTGTTCCTTTCAACGATGGAATAAGGAAAAAAATTCAGTCACTGAACCTGAGCTCTTTGGCCCCATTATAATTATTTTTCGGAGATAATATATTTTCAAATAGTGATTTTTTTTTAAAGAATGTGCGGTTAAAAAAAAGAAAATATTTTCAATTTATGTATAATATTATTTTATTAAAAAATGTGTGATTGATAAGAAAAGAAAAAAATGAATTATAATTTTAATGTGGACCAAACGATGGCATAAAACCTAGATCAATAATTCTACTTGTACAACGTTTTCCTCACATTCAAGATGGCATCCTCTTTATCTTTCTATATATAAAAAATGCCTATTTAACGGAATTTGTTGGTTTTAATGGAAAAACTAACGGAATTTGTTGTTTTCTCGGATTATGTAACGGAATTTCTTGTTTTAAATAGGCTCTGCACATTCCTCCAGTGTTTTTATCATAACTTTGTATTCCGATATTCGATTGAGGCGATTCAAAATGCGTTGGAAAGCTAACTCATCTAGCTACATTTTTGATTCAGACATCATTCTCCAATTCTATCACTTTCTATGTCAAAAATAGGTCTCAATATGAGACTAA